GAGTATAAGATGCTTCCGCATCTAATATAGGTGGTTGGTTAGCACTTCTTGCGAAAAGCCCCTGCTCAACCTTTTCCACCTTGAGATTTCGAAAAAGCAGCCGCAGGTAACTTTAATGGTTCAATTATTTCTGACTGATTTGGCCGATGAGACGAAAGCCTTTAATAACCAGGACTTATCGCTATTTTATTTATCTTATTTATTTTATGGTTAATAATGTTGATGGCTGTGGTATAAGGCGTCGCTACCGACTACAGCGCTGTGCGGTGGCACGCGCTCGGTGGCCGCCACGGGGAGAGAAGGAAGAAGATGAAAAAAACAAGATGTCTCCGTTTATGCTGTGCTATTCATTATGCACGATGTAACATATTTTGGCGACGAAGATGGGATTCACCAGCCCATGTGCTACCGGCCTGAACCTCATCTGTGCCCTCGTTTATTGCCTACCATCTTCTACGATGAGTATTTCGGGGCTACAGCCGCCACCTCCGTTCCTGTCGTCGCCTGGACACCCGGACATTCCATGGGAGCAATGGATCCAGGCTTTCAAGAATTACATGGTTGCTTCGGGCGCCTTCGACCTACCTGCCATTCGTCGGAAGGCGATCCTGCTCAACTGCTTGGGCTTGGAAGGACAACGTATCTTCCAGACTCTGACGACTACTGACGACCCGTGCCTCGTGCCTGCGAGCGCTGCGGCAGGTACACTAACGTCCCCTAGTACTGATGTGTTCGACCGCGCCATCGCGACGCTGGAAGGTCACTTCAAAACCACGTTGAACGTCACTGCAGCGCGTCACCGTTTCCGTCAACGTACGCAGGCCCCAGGTGAGACTGCGGCTGATTACGTCACCGCGCTGAGAAGTCTTGTAGGAGCATGCAATTTCGGTGATCTAACGGACGACATGATACGCGACCAGCTCATAGAGAAAACCACAAGTGGATACTTACGTGAACGCCTTCTGCTGGAAGAGTCTCTCACGCTTTCTAAGGCTCTTACCATTGCCAAACAGCATGATCAAGCGACTAATGAAGCAAGAGAACTTGCACAAAATGACTTGCAAGTTCATCGTGTAAAAGATACTTCAAATCACAGAGAACGGCATTGTAGCACATGTACTTGCTATAACATGCACGGTCAAAGTCGCATATCTCCGAAAGAGCAAGTATGTTATCGTTGTGGTTCTACGGCACACCTTGCAAATAGCTCTCTGTGCAAGGCCAAAGCACATAGGTGTCGACAATGTGAGAAAATTGGCCATCTTGAAAAGGTGTGCAAGTCATTGCGGAAGTTTGAGAAGAATGTTCAGCATGTAGCGGAAGGTAACGATACAGCTGATCCAGACGACCATTTAAGTGTTTGTCAGATCTGGAGCCGTAAGAAGGGAATTTACGCAGCGTTGGAAATAGAAGGAATTTCTGTACCATTTTTGATCGATACAGGATCATCGGTTTCGATCCTGGCCGAAGAACTTTACCAACGCTATTTTTCTAAAGCGTATCCACTGAAGTCTACATCCGTCCAGCTTCTCGATTATTCAAAGGCAGCAATTCCTATACAAGGATGCTTCATTGCTACTGCCTCATTTCACGGCCGATGCACTTCTGTTCTACTATACGTTGTGCCTGGGGGAACGACCATTCTGGGATTAGACGGCATCGCTGCTCTGGATATGAAGATCCAAGGGTCACCGCTCAGGTGTCTTCTAATGACGCAAGAAACTCCGGTGCTACCTCCAGAATTACGTTCTGAGTTTGAGCACCTATTTGCAAAAGAGCTGGGAACTGTGAGAGGTTTCACTCACAAGGTCAGAGTTCGCGCGTCTGTACAACCGGTGGCCAGCAAACTGAGACGACTGCCACTTGTCATTCGCGAGCAAGTCTCGGCAGAAGTTCAGAAATTAGAAGCTCAGGGCATCATTGAGCGTGTCGACTCTTCTGAGTGGGTCTCCCCTATTGTCGTAGCCAGAAAAAAAGACGGCTCGATTCGCATGTGTGTTGACTTACGGGAGCCAAACAAAGCTGTGGTAGTAGACAGTTTTCCTTTGCCACAAACTGAGGAGCTCCTGAACAGCCTGGCTGGGGCACAGCGTTTCTCGAAGCTAGACTTAGCTTCTGCATATCACCAGTTACCGCTCAGTTTAGAGAGCCGTGACCTTACCACGTTCATCACTCACGATGGACTATTTCGCTTCAAGAGGGTTTGCTTCGGACTGGCGTCGGCGCCATCAGCGTTCCAGAAAATGATGCACATGATCTTGAAAGGGTGCAAATGTGTCCTATTTTACATTGATGACATCATCGTGTATGGGCGATCCCGAGAGGACCATTTGGGAAACTTGCGCGCTGTATTGCAACGTCTTTCTGATGCTGGCCTCCGGCTCAACAACAAGTGTGTCTTTGACGTGGCAGAGTTGACTTTTCTAGGTCACGTTGTGAGCGCCAAAGGATTATTTCCGTTGATGTCATCCATTGAGGCGATAACAAAGGCACCATCACCTACAAATATTAACGAACTCCGCTCGCTACTGGGGCTTGCAGGCTTCTATTCCAAGTTCATTCCTCATTTTTCGGATGTTGTCGAGCCAATGCGCGCCTTGCTACGAGGACAAGCCTCTTTCGTTTGGAGTGCGGCAGCACAGAGCAGTTTGGAGCGCCTGAAATCTCTGCTCACATCTTGCGAAGTGCTTCATCTTTTCGATCCTCACTTGCCTGTGTTCGTTACAACTGATGCTTCAGGATATGGATTAGGTGCAGTACTTCAGCAAGACAAACGGGACCTCACTGCAAACTGTCGCATTCGCCTCCCGCACACTTCAACCGCATGAGCGGAAATACTCAGTCGGCGAACGTGAGGCCCTTGCCTGTGTTTGGGCTTGCGAACACTGGCACGTTTATCTATGGGGACGACCTTTCATCTTACGAACGGATCACGCAGCGCTGGTTACGCTTCTTTCGACGAAAGGCACCGGTCACCGACCATTAAGGATTGCGCGCTGGTCCTCACGGTTGCTCTGCTACAACTATACCGTCGAATACAGGAAAGGTAGCGAAAACGTCGTGGCTGACGCTCTCTCCAGGCTACCCGTCCAGAGTTTAATCCGCGATGCACCAGAAGAGGAATTTATCTGTTTGTTGTCTCCCGTAGTTACCATGCCAGAACTTCAAGAAGCAAGTGCCAATGATCAGATTATCTGTGAAGTTAAGCACTTCACGACTACTTCTTGGCCTGACAAGAAATCACTGTCAAAAGAATTGCTACCTTACTTTTACGTGAAGGCTGAACTCTCTGTTGTAAGTGATATCCTATGCCGGGGTGACAGGATTGTCGTGCCTGCAACGTTGACACGCCGCCTTATGGATCTGGCCCACGAGTCACATCCAGGCATTAGTCGTACCAAAGCTCGCCTGAGAGAGTCCTATTGGTGGCCATGCATGGATAGTCACATTGAAGAACTGGTGCGCACATGCGTGATTTGCCAGTCTTGTGACAAGTCCGCACGTACCTTTCCAGCGCCACTGCAACCTGTTCCTCTTCCTGACGCGGCGTGGGAAAAAATTGCCATCGACATTGTGGGACCTTTCACGCAAGCTTCGGCCGACTGCCGTTTTGCGATTACTGTTATTGACTATTATAGCAAGTGGCCTGAAGTGGCGTTCGTGCGAGATGCGACCACGTCTACAGTGAAGAAGTTTTTACTTGAACTTTTTGCGCGAGAAGGCTACCCACGTAGTATTGTATCCGATCATGGACCACAGTTCTCTTCAGCAAGCTTTGACGAGTTTCTCACGGAGCGTGGAATAACGCACTACAACTCTTCCGTGTATTACCCACAAGCTAACGGCTTGGTGGAGAGATTCAATAGGGTGCTGAAGTCGTACATTCAACTAGCCCTGCTTGAACGTCGTGACGTACGAACAGCCATGCTTGATTACCTGCAAGTATATCGCTGTACGCCTCACGCGACTACTGGTGCGACACCCGCTGTTCTTCTTCATCGACGCCAACCTCGCACCAGACTTGACATATTGGGATTGCCCGACAGATGCTTCAGCACGGACCCGTCAAGGGCGATTGAACAGCTACGAGAGCATGTCAAAAAGAAGCAAATGATCTCGAAGAGCTACACCGATGAAAAACGTGGAGCCAAGGAACCCAGTTTCGTCGTTGGTGATTACGTGCGCGTTAAGACAACTGCAGCTCACGGTAAGCTGTCTTCACAATTTTCCGCGCCCAAGAAGATCATTGGAAAACGGGGACCGGCCTCGTACCTTTTGGACGATGGGCGTGTGTGGAACGCATCTAAGTTAATCGCAGTTCACTCCGGAGCGGTCAACAAAATGAAATCGGGCACCCCTGCTGTTATGAACTGGACACCTGCATTTAATCGGTCTTCTCATGCATTACAGCCTGAAACCGCTGCCCTTATGAACTGGTCCCCTGCATCTGATCGGTCATCTAGTGCGCCCCAATGGGACACATCAAGAGCGGATGGTCATGAAAGGGCAGACCCCGTATCATCTCCACCAGACGGCACGCAAGCTTTGACCAGTCCAGGATTTAATGCGCCTGCAAGGAAAAGCAAGCGTAAAAAGAAGACCCCAAAGAAATTGAAGGACTTCGTTAGGAAGTAGACAAAAACAGTTTTGTGTGTTTCTACCATTTATTTTTATTTTATTTTTTTTTTTTTTTGCAAGAGGGGATATGTGGTATAAGGCGTCGCTACCGACTACAGCGCTGTGCGGTGGCACGCGCTCGGTGGCCGCCACGGGGAGAGAAGGAAGAAGATGAAAAAAACAAGATGTCTCCGTTTATGCTGTGCTATTCATTATGCACGATGTAACAATGGCTTCATGGCATTTCTAGACGCGTAGAAAAGCCGCAGAAGCCGTTATCACATTCCTGCCAATATGCGCGAACCTCGCAAAAGCGTCTAGCAACAATGTGGCGCGTGCTTCTGGGTGCCGCCGTTGCCGTACCGATTTTGTACCGGTCAGTAAACAAGCCGCAATTTCGCGTTGTTTTTTGCTACGTTTTTCGCTGTCACGGTCGCCCGCGTATCGAGGAGTGTCGGAGACACCCTAATCTCTCGCACAATGCAGCTTCTGCAGCCGACAACGGCGCTCGCGCGATCTTACGGCCTGTCGCGGTGTTTGTTGTGCCGGAAGCTGCGAAGTGCCGGTCAAACGACCCTGACGAAGTCGCAACACCGCGTTTCCAGTATGCAGTGGTCGCTTCGCGAATGCGGTCTCTATGAAACGCGATCCGCGGTATGCGAGACTCTTGTAGCGTCCATCAACGTTCACACTTTCTCGGTTTGTAGGTCCTTCGTGACTCACCGGATCATGGAAGGAGCGACGATTCACTCTCTTCAGACGGATCCCAAAGTTGTGGCGGAGAGAGGTGAGAAACATTGCACAAGTGTTGTCGTATCTTTTCGCATCGTGTGTATTTTTTGAAGTGAACACGGTGTTCGAAGTAGCGAGATGGTCCGTGATATTGAGTTCCGACAACGCCCTGCATTCGTGGTTTCGGATGTCGAACGGATGTCGTGCAAAACGCTTGCAATAATTCACGATCAGATACGATCACCTCCGTGCATATATACAGAAGTTGGCGACCATAGCGATAAAGATAGCTTCTTGATCGTCCGTGGTCACTATAAACGGGTTGTTTCGAAACTCATTGGACGTCTGAGCGCTGACCGGCGGCAAGGTTCTGTTTGGCGTTGCATACGTTGTTGCCAGATTGAGAGGGTCAGTGTTGCCAGACTGCCGCCAAATTTGGTAGAGAAATTTACCCCTGTAGTTGTGGCTTCCTCGCGAGAGTTTGGTGTCGTGCGCGGTGCATTTTGCGAGTGCATGAGCGATGCTGGCCGTTTTAATTAACGAAATGACCGGCGGCAAGGTTCTGTTTGGCGTTGCATAAGTCAGCTGCCAGACTTTGGGGTGTTTGTGTTAAAATCGCCTAGTGTTAAAAAAGACACACACATTCGCTATGCGTGTTGCACTGGTCCACTATTTTCCTGAGCCGTTTGCAGCACGTCGTGATATTGTTCCAATATCGGTGCCTTCTTTCTAAGTCAGTGCCTCTAGCAAAGTCTTCAATGCGAAACTTGTCGTGCTTGGGAAATGTCGGAATATTTCATCACATCAACTGGCTATTCGATAAGCTGGGTAATTAACAAATACGGTTTGATTATTGTTGAGATAAAAATATTCAATATAAAGGTTTAACACTTTTTCAGAAACGTAGGTTATTTTTTCTGTGCGAAGGTAGCCACCCTGTTAAATTTTTTTCCCCCTGCTTTTCCAAAGTGCGGGAAATTCAAAAGTACACATGGGGCAGGTTAGTTGAAACACCCCGTTTTGTGACATTCAACTTGAGCACCCAAGCCGTTGGACACCATGATTCACACATATATCACGTGCCCATAGTCATGCCCCTTCTGCGATGCAGAGTCGGTGTCTGTAAATGAATGTGCGTGTGTGTTTTAATGATCCTACATGAAATTTGCTAAGTGTAGCAACAGGTATTCTATAGGGTTTTATGCCATTAACCATTTCGTATTGAGTAGTAGCTGACACTGAAATTGAGTTGCATTGAGTTAGTTGATTAGTTGCGTGCATATAGAAGTGTTATAGGTAGGGAAGGTCTAATAAAAACAAAAATTAAACAAATCGATGGCAGCCCGGCCTTGCTGTGGTGTCGATTGTGATGTACCCTTTACTAATGGTCTAACGAAATTTTTAAAATCTGTAAATTCAGTCTACTTTGCATTTTAAAGGAGTCACTCAATAAACTTTGCAAGTTTCGTGAATTTTTTGCAATACTAAACAGTAATAAAAAAATACTTTGAAATCTGTTGCGCCACACTCATGTAGCATTGATGCTGGTGGTTTGAGGTCATGTAATGGAACATCAGGCTCCATTGTATTACTCTTGTAACAAACATGTTATGACCCAAAATTTACTTATTGTATTCCTGGTGTTTTGTTTATCCTAATTTCATTTGCTCTTTCTATGTAATGTATTGCACTGAATGTGCTGACCTCATCAGGCACGAATTATGATCAACTTGTCTGCAAATGTGTCCAATTCGCACAACACAAGTTAAAGGCGCTCGATATGATGTCACACACACACACACACACAAAAAAAAAGAAACGAAGTAATATGTGCTTTTGTGTGAGACTTAGTTACTAATCCTAATTGACATGTAATTAAATAATAAATTATTATGTTGTCAGTAATGTTTCATATCAACATCAAAACAATAATATCCTAGGAGCAATATGCATGGGCACTTAGTTTTTTCATGTGTTCATACTTTAGACATTGTTTTTAAAACATAGCATGTTGATTGAAACGTCGAATATAGTAGTGCCATCAATGATGTGACCAGCTGCAATTGTACTCAGCACACGGAGGCTAAGGGAAGACATGGTGGATATTCAGAAGGCTCAATTCATCCTATACTCATTGTATCTTGCTCTACCTTAGCCACTAGACCAGATAACTGGCAAATACAATTTACATTCACATATGTGGACGTTGTGCTCCAATGTGTTAAGTACCCACTATTTAAGTACTCAGTTAAGGGGGCAGACTGGTCTTAGACATTTTTTTTTGTTTATTTCTTCAGTGATCTTTATTAAACTGCACAGGATTATGCAGTTTTTTCTGCTGATTCAAATATTTAATTAGTTTTCCTGTAACTCATCTTGCTCTTGAGATAACTTAAGTTCCCCCATATGTTTAAGGCCGTCATAGAAAAAGGTGCATAATTAAAAGTGATATTTAAGATATCCTCAACATAGACTAATGACTATAGATTGAAATAATGCAAGAGTTTCTTTTTTGTTTTTAGGCCTTTTTGGTTATTTTATAGTAACATGAACTATCTATTTTAAAAAGCAGTTGGAATTGTGTTGCAATTTTGGTGAGTTAATAATTAAAAAGGCCTGTTCTCTAAATTCTGCTCCCATACTTGCACTCTACACACAGTACCGGTTTCCATTGCAAAAAGAATTATTGTTGTACCTGCCTAGCTGCAGAAATATTGAGGCTTCAAAATTGAACAGTCTTAAATTAACTTTTTTGAGAAAAATGGAAAAAAAAAATGAAAACACGCAGCTTCTTCAAAAAGCAACAATTATGGTGTGCATGTTTTACAATCCTCATAAAGGTGCTCATAAATTCGTAGCAGAGCTTCTAACACAGGTGCCGGCAAATTATAAAGAGGCCATGAAGTTGGTTCCCCATTTTTTTTTTGCCGGTTCTGCATGTTAACAGAACCAAGAATCTGGACAGTTGGAATGACATTACAAAAAATTACCACTTCCTGGTGTGTGAAAATTTGTAGAGAGATAGAAAAAATACTTGCAGAAACCAAATATGTCAATTAAAAAAAATGATTTTTTTGTCACCTTTTGGTCCCACAGACCAGTCTGCTCCTTTAAGAGTCCACGCTTGCCCTTAGGCACATTCTACTCTTTTTGTTTGCAGAAAAGTTCCTGTCCCTCCCGCTGGCCGAGAAGCGGGCCTCCTACAAGTGCGGCAGCAAGTTCGTGACCATCCAAGACATTGATGACTGGCCAACGTACAGTGCTTCTAAAAAAATCTCGGGAAAAGGTATGACGATTACGTGTAATGGATTTCTATCTTTTCCTCCTTTTTACACACACGTGTGGCTCGAAACACAGTAATTGCACAAAGCAAGAAAACTACCAAACTTCTTTCACTTTGTAAAAAAAAAAAGACATACGTCTCACTTACTCTTCACAGTAGCTATTGGCTGGGACATTCTTCGGCCTAGCAAAAGGTTCTAGGTTTTATCCGCAGTCAAGATGACCGCTTTAATTTGAGTTCGGTGTAACACAAATGTCGAATTGGGATTTATCTGCACATCAAAAACCCAGGATCAGCCTGGAATGGTGTGAATCTCCCCACTATGTCATCTGGTTAAGCCTTTGTGTTGTTTTGGGATGTTACGAGCAGGCTTTTTGCTTTGAAGCTTCTATCCAAATTCATGGTGATGGCGGACATTCTTTTTAAGAGCAAAGCTCCTTGAGTTGTCAGCGGATCGTCCTCTGTAGTAACCACCTCTCTTGGGGGTGTGCCACAGGGGTGTTTAGTTCTTGGAATGTCCGCTAGGTGGCGGTACTTGTATATAATCAATATATGATGAAAATAAGCTCCTTAAGGCGTCACCCGATTGTCCTCACTAGTAACTACCTTTCTCGGTTATGTGCAACAGGGGAGTTTAGTTACCCAATCGTTCTCTTTAGTAACCACTTCTCTCAGGTATGTGCTACAGGGGATTTTAGTGATTGGAATGTCCACTAGATGGTGGTACTTGTATATTATCAATATATGATGAAAATAAGCTCCTTAAGGCATCACCCGATTGTCCTCATTAGTAACCACCTCTCTCAGTTATGCGCAATAGGAGAGTTTAGTTTTTGGAATGTCCGCTAGATGGCGGTACTTGTTTATAATCAATATATGATGAAAAGATGCGATATGGTGGTACGGGGAGTGTTCACTAGACGGACGGACATACAGACAGACAGATGCGCGGACGGACAGATTGACCCACGGTTGGATGAACCCACTCATCATCATTCAGTTCGTGGATATGCTGTGATTTATTTTATTGAATGCTTTAAAGTTAAAGATGGCAGAGTTCTTAATTATGGCATCTGTTCTCGATGCAAGGACACCAGGTTATAAGCACTTTGCTTCAAACTTTGTCTTTTCGCTGAAGTACGTGCGAGATCTTAAATAAAAATATCACTCCTTTTATTGGCTAGAATTGTGGTAACTTTCCTTCACTCTTTCTCACAAATACTTAAATTCTCATTAAACTTGCTCTAAAGGTTGTTGCATCAAATTTCTTCATTGCAGATTTGTCTGAACAGCCACAAGCTCTTAGAGCTCACTCCTAATTCAATTTGAGTTTATTGAGCAGTAATTCTATAACTGTGCCTTGGTGTTTTCCTTTATCTGCATATTTGCATATTGAATCTTTTCATATTGGACATGACCATAGAAACTCTGTATTTTATATGTATATTTGGGCTGTCAGTTCTATCTTAAATCATATAATTCAATCCGTGTTAATTGCACAGTAGTTTAAATGTGTTTGGCGGGGTTACCGTTTTTTGCAATTTTGTTTTATTTGTTGAGTGGCTACTTGCCACGTTTTCACAGGCTCTGGAAAGTATAAGGTGCGCCCCGACCTGAACTCAAAGGTTTCCATCTTCGTCGGCGACATCACGGCACTGGAAATCGACGCCATTGTGAACGCTGCCAACAACCGTCTTCTTGGAGGGGGTGGCGGTAAGTCTTTCCGTGCCCTGATGCATACTGTTTTTTGAAATACATCTAAATGTTTCTTTTTCTTCTTGATCCCTTTTTTTTCTTGATGATTTAAGGTTGAATCAATATGTAGATTATTAACCCTAGATAATGTATAAGCATAGACCTTTTGCAACGTAAGTCCCCGGAGTCGCAAATATCTGCACGATATAAGAGGTACTGTACTATAACCAAAGTGGCCTTCTTCAAACGCTGCACTTGCGCAAAATGTGTTGGGCATGCAGGCTGACGTGTTTGAGAATGGAGGCATGCGACGCAAGGTGCTTACAGCCTTGTGTAATTTTGAGTGTTAAAAATGAACGTTCAAAGGCTCCTGCTGCCAACCAAATGAATGCAGAAAAAAAAAAAAAAAACACGAGAATGTGCCATCGCAGAAATTCGCCTACTATGTTTTAGACTGCCTCAATTAATGCGCATTGCACAGAAGCTACATCGAATCAAAACCCAAAGTTTACACACTAAACGGTACCGATCGTCCACGATTTCAATGGGCTTGCCCCAGATGTCTACGCCGCAATGCAATCGCAAACTACTATTCAAGTGTTACACGTGCTACCCATGCACTTGTTTTCATTAATGATATGGTTCTCTTCCCTTCAAGTGCTGCTACTGCAAGAATATTGTTGACTCCGTACCAAACCGCAAGATTAATCGCCAGCAACTGACAACGAAAAGCGACTCAACATTGATTAGGTCTAGCTTGCAATGCGGGATGTTGTCGTGGTTTGCGCAAGACAACACCAAGATTAGGTATTGAGAAGATTGCACTCAAGCGCCGACCCAAAACCCTCACCTGTGATATGAAGTTCCAGTTTGTGACCAGGATATCAACGACGACGAAGCCCGTCAAGATTGTGTGAAGTTCGCGTTTTGGCAGCAAAAGCGAAAGTTCGCATCAACAAGCCACAATTTTCGGGCAAGGCGGCTAACGCGATATCTGCAGTAATCGCGGCAGCGACAATGATTTTCTCGACAGGAAACTCAACGCGCACTTGGCGGGGACACAATCGCGCGCCTCCGTGCGAAGCGCACACATGGCCGGCAAGCGATCGGTGTTAAGGCAACGCAAAGGCTACTCAATCCACCTCCGCCCTTCTTCCAGACTTGGTGGGACCGCGCAGAGCTTCTGCGGTCTCCCTTTTCTATAGAGAGTTTTATTTTGTCCCCAAACTTTATTGCATTAGTGTTATACCGGATACTGTAGCCTGAAACGTGAGAGGCCGGATGGGTGATGCCATCTGGTGAGTCTGAGATGATCCAGGCAAGCGTAGAATAATTACTACAGAAACCTAGTGCATTCTGCTTCCCTTGTTGTATAAACTCATGGCAGCAGCCTAATATTGACTGAGTTGAATGTTTAAACTTTTTTTCCCCTCAAGGAGACTAGGCGGAAACAAACAAACGTGTCTGTATTTGTAGCTACAGGAAGAGTCAATAGATATCAGTACCATCGACTAGTAACCAGGTATTCTGTTAACACTTTTGCATGTACCGAATTACTGGACAAGCTGAAGACCTCTTTTTCCCCCTCTACCCCTCGTTCATTCATTCTGTGTCCCCTAGTCCTTCATAACAACCTCATGGCCCTCCTCACCTCACCGGCGCACACCCTTTGAGAACCCCTGTGTTTAAAGAAATCAATTGTGCTAATTTCTTATGATGAGCAAAGTTTTTTTTTTTGTTACTGTTCACCTGTGTGGCATTTGGGCAGCCTGTGTGTCATGCGAGTATCTGAGTTCAAGTAAATTATCTTTCTTTTTACAATGCCTCGTGTCTTCAACAACGCCGAAGACAAGGCGGTGTTGAACTCGACACCGTGTTTATCAGCAATATTTTAAGGCATTTTAACCGCTCTTTTATTTTGGCGGAGGGGGTGCAAAGTCAGCCCCATGCATTGACACAATAGGGAAAGGGTGCTGCGACCAATTTCCGCCTCCCCCCCCTGATCCCTGGATCCTTGCGCACGCAGGGATCGGGGGGGGGGGGGGGAGGCGGACTTTGCGAATGCTTATGGTCTTGACATCATAATAAATGAGTTTGACAGCGGCGTTGCTACTTGATTAAAAAAAATATATTTGTTTGTCGCAGTGGATGGTGCCATTCACAGTGCGGCAGGGCCCAAGCTGAAGGAGGAATGCGCCACGCTGAACGGCTGCCCGACCGGTGAAGCCAAGATTACAGGCGGCTACAAGCTACCTGCCAAGTGTGAGTGCAGAGCCAAGCAATGGCACGCTTGCCGTAGAGTGACTCACATTTTTTTGTTTCGAACCCTCATACATGTGCTCTCAGATTTCAGCGGTGCACTAAACTTAGGCATTTTTGCTAAACCACATAAGGTTAAGCGCAATTTCGATTTACAGGAGGTATTCACAAAGCTGATTCTGCCAGGCAGCGCACTCACTGGCACCGCCGTAGCCGTGGTGCATCAGCGATCCGCAATATCGCAGCCTGATGTCTGGCAGTGCTGCACCGCGGTAAGCCGTTTATTTAGAGAAATATACGCGCAACACAAGCTGCCGAGAGCCTTGTCTGTGGTGCGACAGTGATGTTCTTGCTCGAGACCACAAGTATGGCGGCTGCTGCGCTAGTAACCCTTTCTGGATGACGTCACATGAATACGCCATGAGAACCGCGAGAATTAATTTTTAAAAAAGTGCAAGTGTCAGAGTGAATACAGTCGCACCTTTTTATAATGAACTTGAAAGTGTCACGATAAATGGTCGTTATATCACTATAGTTTTGGATTCGACCTAATAACAGTCACCTGGCAATAAAACCACTTTTATTTTTTTGTGTATTTTCATTAAAATTTGTGATTAACCTCTCCGATGATAAGCTGGACCTTTTCAGTCGATAAGCGATGCCCGCTGTGTGCTCGCGACCGAATTAAACCATTCTCGCTATGAACTCGCGTCATTCGACTGAAGAGCCATACCACCACGTGGAACCATTCATCGCCGACAAGTTGCTTGCAGCGTGTCGGTTACTCTGATCTCGCCGTCACTTGCCGGGCTATTTGTAGTCTGATCTATGAGCGCGTTTGTGCTTTCTTCGTGCATGCTTCATTCTGGATCGCACTCGGGTGCGACCTGTTGCCTGCAGGTTGTCCAACACGACGAAGACATGCATTTTGCAAGCAATGGGCATGTGGTCCCGCAAGACGCGACGAACCTGCGAACGGCAACATGATGCGCTTGTAACGCCGTCACTAGACACTGCAGCCGCCCAGCAGATACTTGCAGCTGACGGTGATGAAATTGTCGGCAATGAGTCGGAATGGCGCGTTCATCCTCGCCTTCGCTCTTTCCGTTAAGGTGCCGCTGTCACCGCAAGGAAGGCGTTATGATTAGTCTGTGCAGTTACCTGAAAAGTGGAACACCTTTTGCGGCACATTGTGGCGTCGACGAGTTGAGCGCCGCAGTGAATTTTTGTGCGACACAGATGGCTTCTTGCATTTGCGGCATCATGCGATCGAAGACAAAGGTCAACCGGCGGTGGTCATTGATGCAGGGAATGGCTTCAGACAACTTTGCAATGTGAAAGCTGACAGCAAGTGTTCATGCTGCCTTCCTTTTTGTTTTTTTTTTTCTTACCCCTCGCTGCCGTTCTGCCAGTGAAAAAATGACTGGAAAGTGAGCAACCTCACTCGCAGCGTCCGAAATGTGCGTGTGGGGCTCCCCGCGGTCTTCGATATATGCCCGTCAGGCACGAATCATGATACACTCTTCACATGCGTGAGATTTGCATGGCATGATTCCAAAACTTGGTATGCCCCGCCACGGTGATCTAGTGGCTAAGGTATTCGGCTGCATTTTCGATGGAGGCAAAAATGCTGTAGGCTCGTGTACTCAGATTTGGGTGCACGTTCAAGAACACCAGGTGCAAGGTGTCTGGCGACCGGGGAAACCGGGAAAACCTGGAAATGTCAGCGAATTTTCAGCCACCGGGAAAAGTCAGGGAATTGTGAGGGAATTGGTCAATCAAGTGAGACAAGTCAGGGAAAACTGTCTTGGAGCCTGCCCACACTACTAATGACTTGCACAGCCGATCGCTTTGGGCGAAGCGCTAGAGTCAGGGAAATGAAATTTCCATAGAAGGATGATAGGAGGTGTCTAAATTCCACGCTCACTCTGCTTTTTTTTATGTAGGGAATCTTGAAGGCGATGATTTTGGTAGCCAATATTGAAGGATATGCTTTCTTACGATGTCAAGAGCCAGAATTACGCAATCGAAGTGGAACACAGCAGGTTTTCGGTGTCACCTATTTTTGCGCCATCGTTTGCACGCACTGACCTCTACTAAAATTAGTTTGTGCATTCTGGCTGCGGAGGAGGGTAACGTAGCATATCGAGTCGAGCCACGACAATCCGCACGCAATAAATCCAGCATGGCGACGTCCCTTTGTTGTACAGTGCGGCTAGGCTCTACTGCGACTGAAAATGTGTGAATTGTGAGCTTTGCGCTCTCGTGGACGTTTTCCCGGAGTTCCTGCGTAGCGCGAAATATGGTGTGCGACGTTGTCCTCGACTAAGTGCTTCTGTGATTTGAAGTGAACATATCCGTATATTTCTGTGAAGGCATATTCCGGAGAGAAGAAATCCATCGGACCTGCAGCATTTCAGACGCGTTCATTAGTGTCGCGCGCTGCTTATCAGTGCTGCGTTTCGGTGTCGCGCGCTGCAAAATATTTTTTCAGCGAAGATGTCAGGAGGCAAGAAGTGTTCCTTTAATGCGGACTGGGCAAACCCAAGTGTCTCCGATTATGCAAGTTGGATTAGGCCTGTGGAAAATGATCCGCACAAAGCCATGTGTACAGTTTGCCAAAAAACGTTTTTGCCGAGCAACATGGGTCACAGAGCTGTTTCAGGTCATGCCTCTAGCAAGAAGCACATTGCTGCATTGAATTGTCTCAAAAGTGCTTCCCAGCCAAAGCTATTGTCATTTTTTAAAAGCCCGACGGACGCCTCGCCTAGCAGTAGCGCATGATCTGCGCCTGCTGCTACCGAAGTTGCAGTCACTACAGCTCCTGTGCAAGTGTCAGTGGGTGGTTTTTTGTTTAAGAACAATGTGACTAAAGCAGAAATATTTTGGTGCCTCAATATCATAATGACACATGGATCCTTTTGTTCTGCAGCAGCGTCTGCGGCACTTTTTCCACTGATGTTTCCCACTTCTGAGGTGGCTGCAAAAGTTCAGCTGGGTAAAGACAAGGTAGGCTACACCATTTGCCATGGCATTGCGCCGTACTTTCATAATATGTTGCTGTCTAGTCTAGTCAATGTGCATTACCTGGTAGTCTGTTTCGACGAGGCACTGAACAAGGTCACCCAGAAACAGCAAATGGATGTTCTCACTAGATACTGTGATGCTGCTGACGACAGCATGAAGACTCGCTACCTGACGTCTTGTTTTATGGGCCACATGTGCGCTGAAGACTTGGCGTCAGCGTTTCGTCGAGCGGTGAAGGAAATCAAAGGATCAAAAATCCTGCAAGTGTCCATGGACGGGCCAAATGTCAACTTTAAGTTTTTGCGGTCTCTGAAGGAAGAGCTTCGCGAGTCAGATGAGAGCCATATCCTCGACATAGGAAGCTGCAGCCTTCATGCAATCAATGGTGCTTATAAAGCTGGCCATGTTGCATCTGACTGGGATTTATTATCATTTCTTCGAAGCGCCTACAACCTGTTCAAATGCGTTCCTGCACGTCGCGCTGACTTCGTCAGCCTCACGGGATGCTCGAAACTCCCCATGAATTTCTGTGCAGTGAGGTGGCTGGAAAACAGTACTGTATTCTGTAGGGCACTGGAGATTCTACCACACCTCATTGTATTTGTGCAGCAGTGTAAAGAAAAAGCACACAAGAGGCCAACATGCTCAAGCTACAAAGTGGTTGAAGAAGCTGTGTCTAATCAGGTCTTGTCAGCAAAGCTAGCTTTTGCTCTTTCGATTGCTGAGGAATCGGAACCCTTTCTGCGTGAATTTCAAATGGATAAACCGATGGTTCCATTCCTGTCAGCAGCACTAAAGAGCATTCTGCGTTCACTGCTGCCAAGAATTGTAAAACAGGAAGTTCTCGATGCTGCCGACACGATCGCCAAGTTGATGAAGATAGGCCTAAGCATACCAGAAAATGCAGTAAATGTAGCCGCATTCGACGTTGGGTTTTCGGCAAAAAACGAGCTTTGCAAGAACAAGAAGTTGTCACAGCTTGCAATAATGAATTTTAAAAAAGGCTGCATATCGTTTGTCAAGGCTTGTGCACAGAAAGTGGTGGAGAGATCGCCGCTTAAGTACAAGTTGGCCATGGGTGCAGGTTGTTTGGACCCTGTCTGTGCATTGTCTTTGGAGGCTGGTCCCAGGCGGCTTACGCTGGCACTTGAAGTACTTTCCGAGCACCACTGGATGACCGGCTTGCAAGCAGAGCGAGCCCATCGCTCCTACGTGAAGGTGTGCTCAGAAAGCAGTACACGGGCACAGCTGGCAAATTTTGACAGGAAGAAACAGAGGCTGGATACTCTGTGGACAAACATATGTTCCCAGGATCACAAGGAGCTGCAGTTTTTTGTGAAACTTCTCTCGTGCTTGTCTCAAGGCAATGCTGCAGTAGAGAGAGGCTTTTCTGTCAACAAGGAATGCCTTGTTGAAAATTTGAAAGAAGATTTTCTTGTGGCACAGAGAGTAGTGCATGATGCGGTCTTGGCAGCAGGTGGCATCGCTCAAGTAGACATTACCGACAGGATGGTGAAGACAGTTCGCAGTGCCTACAGCGTCTACAGGGAGCAGCTGAAAACAAAGAAGAGAGAGCGAGATGAAACAACTGAATTAGAGAAGAAGAAAAAGAGAGCAGCAGCTCTGATTAAAGAGCTACAAGAAAAAAAGCAAAGGCTGCTTAGTGAAGCGCAACTTGAAGCTTCTTGATTGATATGTGGGGTTTAACGTCCCAAAACCACTATATGATTATGAGAGACGCCGTAGTGGAGGGCTCCAGAAATTTAGACCACCTGGGGTTCTTTAACGTGCACCCAAATCTGAGCACACGGGCCTACAACATTTCCGCCTCCATCGGAAATGCAGCCGCCGCAGCCGGGATTCGAACCCGCGCCCTGCGGGTCAGCAACCGAGTACCTTAGCCACTAGACCACCGCGGCGGGGCAACTTGAAGCTTCTATTCTTCAAGACGAAATAAACTCTCTCAAACCCTAATT